GCCATACTGACATAAATGAACATTTGCACGATATTCTAATTTTTTGAGTTTCACCTGTACAATGCCAGTTCAGTGTATTTTAAAGAAATGTGTGGTTTGGTGAAGTTCAATAAAAATACCTCAGGTTGAAATGGAATACAATTTTCAAAATTTGTTTCATTCTATGATGAATTAATTTCCAATTTTGTTGAGCTTTGCAACATTGTCAACACATATGGAAGAAAGATCCAATCTGTTCATTGCATTTCTAGCATTTTGAGGTAAAGGAGTTACTCATTTTAGCAATCATGACTAGGTAATGTTCTAGTGATAAAATATCTTACACCAGTTCTCTCTAAGTATAATGTTTAAGATAAATTTAATATTCTTTTTCCACTGAAATTCACACTGTTCCATCTCTGTGATTGCATTCAGATTTTGCATCCATTTCATCAGATAAGCTTTAGTTCTACATCATATTTAATTAATAGATTATAAATTGTACCCAGCAAATGTTCGGTATTATAAGTTATAAGATTTTCAAATTCAGTCACCTTTCTCAGTATTCACCCATGTAATCTAAAGAGATTATTGTCTCTCCATTGAACAAATTTCTTAGTGCTTTCTTCATCATAAAAGGAAATAAGAAAGGAAGCAAGAGGGAAGAAGTATGGACTTGTTCTTTTCCAATATTTACTCCAAACATTAAATAGATTGCTTAATGTTATATAATCTCTTGAAAATTGTTTATTTCTCTGTATATCAACCCAAATATATCTATGCATCCCTGTAGAAAGTCTACCTGTTACGGTAAGGTGATGGAACTACAGGTAGTCCTTGCTTAATGACTGCCCTGTTTAGCAACTGTTTGAAGTTATGATGGTGCTGAAAACGTAACTTTACGACCGGTCCTCACACTTATGACCATTGCAGCATCCCTGTAATCACGTGATCAAGATTTGGGCTCTTCGCGAGCAGCGGGCATATATGACCATTGCAGTGTCTTGCAGTCATGTGATTGCCATTTGTGTGCTTCACAGCTAGCTTCCAACAAGCAGAATTAGTGGAGAAGCCAGCAGTAAAATCACAAGTCGCTGTCACGTGATATCTCACTTAACAACCGCGTTACTTAGCAACAGAGTTGCCATTCCCAATTGCCATTAAGTGAGGACTACCTGTATAAGGAAATATAATTCATTCTGTAATCCACATTAGGCAATTGGTATGATAGTAGAATCTGAAATTTGGAGCCTCTAGGCCAGCTCGTTCTTACAAGTTCTTGAATTTAATCCTTGGCCTTTTGTTAGACTGTATATACCTCATTACTTCTTAATACCAGTTGTTTTATACCTTATTCTCAATACGGACTGGAATAATTTGAAATAGAAAATTTAGTCTTGGTAAAATACTCATTTTGACTGATGCAATTCTCCTTAGCTTAGCTTAGAACAAATTTAATTTCTTCCATTGAGAAATATCTGTCATTATGTTTCCAAGTAGGTAAATAATTGTTTTTGAATAGATCCTTACTGTTTTTTGTCAAAAAGATACCTAAATATTTAACTTTTTTAGCAGTAATGTTAAAACCAGTTAGCCAATATGCAAATTGCTTTTCATCTTCTGTTAAATTCCATATCAACCTCTGACTTCTTTCTTTATTAATTGATAACCTGCCATTAAGCCATATTGTCTGTGTTCCATCAATGTTATTCAAGAGACTGTAGGTTGAGCAATTGTAACTACAACATCATCCGCAAATAATTTCAGTGTATGCTCTTGTGCAGCTAGTTTAACTCCTAGGATTCTATTTTCTTGATTTATCTGAGTTGCTGAAGGCTCTAGTGTTAGTAAAAAGTAAGGAGGAGAACAAGGCCTTCATGTTTACCACAAAAAAGGTTAAATGTGGTTGTTCTGGCCTAAAGGAAGAGTTGGATGAGAGTTGTTTAAACCAAATAATAGATAATTTAGTAATATCTGCTTCCTTTTGTGTCATTTGAATATAAATATATTTTTGTGATTGGGTGTATATTAGTATAGGATGTGGCTTAGAGCTTTGAAAACGTGATGCTTTGATGCATTGTTCAGTTTCAGCTGCAGTGTGTCAGTGGAGACCCTGAAGGAAAAATCTCAGGCCAACATGCACAGAATCGATAACTTTTTGTCATATACCGTTGGGCATATTACAGTTATATGTTCATAGCTGGAGCTGTTTTAATATTCAGTGATTTAGCAGTTATATATAAATATATTATTTTTATGGAAAAAATCTGTTTTTAATAATATTAGTTAAACCTCTTTTCAGAAATTTTCTGGAAGTGTGGATTTATACTTTATACCTGTGTTCATGGAAATGCAGAACAAGAACACCTTTGAAGAGCCAGGTTTTATTGTTACCATGAAGTGCTATGGTATAATAGATCTATTTGTACACATATGCTTTTTGTCCCCTGTTGGAGCATAAGAATGTGTTCCAATTGGTGATTTTATTTTCAATTAATTAGTTTCTTCCTTTATTCATCTTTTTTTTATATATAGATTTTATATTTTCAGGTTAACAGTTAAAATATCTGCTATTACTTAAAGGTATTGCTGCACTATTGACTTACATATCTATAGTGATACAGACGAAGATGTAGAAATCTTCGTATATTGATATACGAAGAGGTATATTGGAAGTGATAGATGGATTGTTATTTTATCACTGAAGACTACAAATTTAAATGTTTGATGTGTGTTGTACAGTATATAACTAATTTTATTTTATGTAGTTAATGATATAGCAAGAGTTTTTTTTTAAATAAAAGCTTAAGCAAGTGTGTGTTAAAATTACTCCTTTTTCTATTTTTGAAGAAGCCCCTGTCCCTGGAAATAACCTGCTAACTTGGCTGAGCATATGTGATGCTTGTCTTTATCAAACTCATTTATAAGTCAGCTTTTTCATGAAACCCTTGGTCTAACCTTTCAGTTTAACTGTGACTACATCCATGCCTGCATTGTGAAAGAGTTGTTCCTGTAAGAAAGGGAATGGACCACAGCAGTGCTGGGAAAAAAAAGCTTTCACTAATATCCAAAACGCTTCATTCCAGTCTGTATTTTCCCCTGTCCACCCCACAGAGAAGTGTTGATCTTACAGTGATTAAGTGGTCCTGCAAAAATATATTAATTGTGTAAGAAAAGGGTGGGGATGCTGGCTGATGAACCCATGAGCAGGCCATCAACTTGATAGTTCTGCTTGATTTTTTTTTCTTTTTCTTTTTTTTTTAGCAAATACTGGTTCACTCCCGTGTAAATGCTACCAAAGTGATATTTTTGATTACGGATGGATATTCCAATGGAGGGGATCCTCGGCCCATTGCAGCATCCTTGCGTGATTTTGGAGTAGAGATCTTCACATTTGGGATATGGCAAGGCAATATCAGAGAGCTGAATGACATGGCTTCTCACCCAAAGGAGGAACACTGCTACTTGCTCCACAGTTTTGCAGAGTTTGAAGCTTTAGCACGCAGAGCCCTTCATGAAGGTATTGGATCTAGGTCCGCTTTGAATATCTTTGTATTTTCAAGTTCATGGATAATATATTATCTGAATTTGAAAGATAGAGCCCTTACTCCAATAATAACCTGGAAGACATTCATTATGCAAGTATAACATTGTCAAAAACAACCTTATCCCCTGCCCAAATGTTATTAAACTTATTTTGAAAGTAAGATGTTCATATTTATTTTAAAACTAGTTCTTCTGATTGTGATTGGAAGTCTTTACCAGCTTTCATTACACATGGTAATATATATGTGTGTGGCAGGTTCGGAAACATATCTGTTGCCACTGTCCCCAATCTCCATATAGTAAAAATGCAGTTTTCAGAGCACCTTATTTTTGTAGTACTGAACAACCCATTCACTTTATTTTTGCATTTAGGTTATACGCTTATGTAGAGATTTACACATAGTGCTTTGAATGCAATCCAATCATGCCTCCTCTTCTACTTAATATATTTCTGCATCAAATAAACAGCTGTACCAGATTTGCATTTAAGCTTTTGTAGGTTTTCAGAATTGTAAAATATTGAATTGCATTTTATGAGGACAACACAGAGACTTTAGGAATTTTCTCTCAGACTTTTAAAATCGTGATTAAAGAATAGAAGTTTGTATTAAAACCTACAAAACTAATTTTGAACCATATGTACAAGAGACTTTACCTAATTAATTTGCTGGGTGATATTGTCAGATAAAATTGGAAATATTAAATTGTATAGTTTAATGAATGAATACAATGTGGTGTTTGCAGGAAAAAATAATTAAAATACCTCAATTATTCTCAATCTTTTAAGAATAGAACAATGCTTTCTAAATAGGTATATCTTATTTGGGACCAGTTTTGACAACTGATGTCATAAGTACCTTTAAGCACCTCAAAATAAAGATCTAAACAGAGATATTAGCCCTCACTCATCTCTTTAGAAAAGCTTCATCAAATTTACAGAGTGCAGTTACTGAGAATTATTATTTATCTTTCTTAGAAGGACCCAGATTTAATTCTGTCCTCAGCCATGGGGGGTGGAAAAACTTTAGGCAGTCACTATGTCTTTGCTCAACCTACCTCATGGGGTTTTTGTTAAGAGGGAACACTGGAAAAAGGAGTGCTGCATATATTGCCTTGAGCACCTGTAAGAAAGGCAGGATATAAGTCAAATAAATAAAAAAGAAAGATACCATATTGTTAAATCAATGAAACATGAAAGAAAGGGCAAAATTTACTTTAGGATACCAAACAATAATGTTTCAAACAAACCATGTAAGAATGAATGAAAGGAGTGAAGCCATGCTAATATAGACTTCTGCAGCTCACTTCTATTATAATAAGTTTGAATAGAAGAATTATTCAGCGCATTGTATTAATGGAAATTAATTCACAGATGCAGATTTTCAAGTGTTAACAAAATGGAGCAGAGCTTTGATTGGGAATTAACTGATCTCTCACCCTGATCAAATACCTGCTTTGCAATTAATCTTTTCTTTTTCCTTAAGAATTGAGCAGGAAATATAAATGGGATTTTAAATCATTAGGATTATTTTAATAATTAGGATTTGGTTTACTTTTGCATTTACATGAAAAAAATTTTTTTTAAATCTACCTTGATGAGTAGATGCCTCTGACTATTTATTTGCTTATTTATTTGGAACCCCTACCCTGTCTTCCTAAAAATCCTAATTACAGATCTGCCTTCTGGTAGTTACATTCAGGAAGACATAGCGTATTGCTCCTATCTTTGTGAAGGGACTGAAAATTGCTGTGATACCATGGCAAGCTGCAAATGTGGTACCCACACAGGACAATTTGAGTGTATCTGTGAAAAAGGATACTATGGCAAAGGACTACAGCATGAATGTACAGGTTAGTAACTGCTTTCTTCTGTTACGTTTGCTGATATACAAGGCTTGTGTTTGGGCAAGGTTTTTCAAAGTTTCCCAATGCTCTACAACACAATGCCATAATTACGTATCAACAGATTGAATGGTTTTACAGAATTTATACAGTACATTCAAGGGACGTCTGAAATAGCCTAAGTCCAAACCAAATGACTCATAATCCCTTGTTTTTGTAATCTCATCCATGCAATTTCCATGCTTAGAGCTTCAGTATTTTAAATCTGACTTCACAGAGACATGTAATGCATATAACCAAATAAAAAACACTCATGATGTAAATATCCATCAAAGAATTTGTCTATACTATAGTTTCCACTGAGTATGTTCTTGATGGAAAACTTGGGTTTCTTACTTGTATGAAGTGTGAGAAATTTTCACTTTTCACCTTTCAGTGGCCCATCTTGGATTTCAATAGACCCAAATCACCATTCATGTTCAATTTTTGATTTAGTTAGATATAACTGTTGATGCTATATAATTTGCATTTCCTTGGAAATATTGTCAATGTTTAATTGGATAGATCTTGAGAGTCGATACACTTCATGGACCTCCTAACTGGGTTGATACCAGCACCAATATGTTGTCTTGCAAGGTACTCTCCACATTAGAGATCCTAGCTTGCATAAAATAACATGAACATGCTTGGGGCAAAACTGGACTTTGATTATGCTTCTGGCTAAAATGTGTGATGTGACATATAATTAGCAGGGAATAATATGACTAAGAGAATGTAGGTATGACTAAGACCTAACCCTTGTCTGTCTTACTAAACAGTATTATGTGAAACCCTCAATTGATCAAAGCCATGATGGGCAGTGAAGGTCCATAACTGCAGCCATCTGGTGATGACCATGACATATAGAAGGTTGTGACTTGGAATGTAAGATGAGTAAATATAAATGTTGTGAATTAATGAATGAAAAACGGAAAAATAGATAAGTTGTGGGTGTGAAACTAAGAGAAAAGGGAAGGACGTAATTGATCTGAATAAAAGTAGTCAGATCTTGTGGAGTGGAGTTGATGGATACATGGATGTATGGAAGTGAAGATGTAGGTTTAACTATAAAAGAAAGGGCTAAAACACATGCCATAAAGTATGAATTGGTTTTATATAGGTTGTTGTGGGTGTATATGAAAGTAGGAATCCATAAGTTAGAAATATATGTTCCAGTGAATGGTGATAATGGTAGAATCAAAGAGGAGTTTGTCCACTATTCTGAATGAATGCAATCCTGGTGAAAAAGTATTCCTGCTAGGTGACGTGAATCATGGGCAGGGTGGAAATAAGAAAAATAAAAAGTGAGTTGGGCCATTCTGAAACCCAAAAATTAATGAAAATGGTGACTCTTTGGTGACTGTCTATTTAAGGAAAAGACTGTTTCAAATAAGTGGATTAAGCACATGTTTGTTCAGGCAGACACCATAGAAAAGGCCTGGATTGAAAAGCATGATTGATGAACATGGGAAAAAAGGAAAGAAGTGATATAAACTAGAGTGCAAGTTCTATGCAAATAGAATGACTACAGGAAGAGAAAGTAGGAATAACGTATGAAAAAGAAGACAGAGCTATGTCCTAACAGAGTGAATGGAAGAAGATGTAAAGGAGGAGGATGTGGCAGGTGCTTGAAACACAGTGGAAAGAATTATGTAACAGAATGTGTGGAGTGTGTGCAAAGTTGTACTAACAGGAAGTATGAAAAAGCATGCTTGGTAAAATGAAGTGAAAGAAATAGATGAGGGGAAGATGCATAGAAGAGAGCAAATGCTTTCAAAATTGGGAAAGAGAAAAAGAGACTATATAATGTGTGTATAGAGAAAAAGATATTTGCAAAGAATGTAGTGAAAGACAGCAAGGAATGGTTAAGATAAAAAGAAGCAGAGAAAATGCAGGGACATTTTGTTGGAATTAAAAATTGTTTTGGAAGTGGTGAAGATGGCTAAATAAAGAGTCCCCAGAAGAGTGAATGGAATTAAAATAAAAGTGATGACATTATTTGAAATGAAATTGAAGTGTGGAGATGCTGGAGAAATTTGTTTGAAGTATTGATAGTGGCATGTTGAAAAATGGAATTGAAACAAATGCTATATTAATCTCTGTGTGTATGGAGATTATCATTGTGTGTGTGTGTGTGCGAATGAATAAAAAGGATGACGAATGCTGTAAGAGTTTTGGAAAACAGGCCGTTGGTATAGATGGTACAACTGGAAAAAAGTTAAAATTTGATGTGTTTTTGTTTAAGGATTGATTGTGCAACTTGTTTAACATTTGTGAAGGGTGCACTCGAGGCTGATTATTGGAAAAATGCAATTATTGTTCCCTTATACAAAGAGAAAGATAGCAAGAGTAAATGCAAAAACTACCAGAGGATTCATTTTTTTAAGTGTGCCTGGAAAGGGGTTTGGCGGAATTCTAACTGAAAGAGATGATGCTGGCCAAGATTTGGGAAGTGCATGGTGGCTTTATGGTGAGCAGAGGGTACATAGATTGGATTTTTGCTCATCAGCAGATTGATAGGAAAGACATGAATACTGCTGATTTAGAGAAAGAAAATGATAGTGAATAGGTTTAATTCATGGAATGTTTTAACTGAATATGATGTTGGAGATTGGTTACTGAATGCAATGAGAACATTATATGATAGAGGTAAAGCAGGATGAGTATAAATAGAACGTTTAGCAAATGGTTCAACATTGAGCAGGGAGTGAAATAAAGGTGTGTGATACCCCCATGGTAATGGGTTTATGGATAAACAAAAGAAATATCTGTGATGATGTCAGAGGTGTGTTGGTTAAGGATACAATATACCTGTAGTTTTGTGTGCAGATGAGGCCAAGTTGGCTGAGAATAGAGGGCAGTGAGAAGTATGCATCTGAAACTTAATATATAGAAAATGAAAGTATTTGTATTTGACGGGGGAAATGGAGTAGAAGATTGCAAGTTACATATAAATGGCAAAACCTAGAGGAAGCAGATGAATTTACATATCTTAGCAGAATGTTCATTAAAGAAGAAAAATGGATGGAGAAATTTTAAGACCTGGAAGTGGTAGTGGAAACAAAACTTTGTTTGAGGAATGAATGTTTGTCAGAAGAAGCAGCAATGGCTGTGTAAAAGAGTGCTTCTGTCTGCTTTGTTACATGGAAGGAGAGCTGGGCATGACAGGAGAAACATAGAAGTAAATTGAATACAGCAGGAATGGGCTATTTAACAAGTGTGTGTGGTAAAACAAAAAGAGATAGGGTCAAGAACAAACAGTGATGAAACATTGTTGAACACAGTACAAAAGAAGTACACTGAAGTGGTGTGGTCATACAGAAATACTGAATGAAGATCAAACCACACAATAAATATGTGAAAGAACAAAGAATGAAAGTGAAAGGAAAACTGAGAAAATTGCTGTTTATCTGATCTTCAGAAAAAGAACAAAAGGTAATGTATGAGGAGTTATATGGAAGTGGTAGAAGCAAGGATGTTTTGCAAGGAAAAAGGTATGGAGAGATATAGTGGACATTGATATAAAAACTATTTATTTATTTAATTAATTAATTAATCAATTTGTATGGCTGCCTGCCTCAGCAAGTGACTCTGGGTGGCAAACAATCTTAAAATAAATTAAAATCAAATTTAGCTTTATTTTCTTTCTTTTTTCTTACTTTATGTCTTAAACTTTGTGCCTTAAATTTCTTTTTGCTTACTGTTGCTTCCTCTGTTTCTTATTGTGCATAATATTGTTTATCCCAAAAGGCACATATGTATAACTTAGTTATTTTTCAGTTTGAGTTGAGCAGTTTTACTATAGTTTAGTGGCAAAGCACATGTTAGACATGCAGAAACTCCTACATTATGTTTGTGACATCTCCATTTAAATGGTTTTCAGGATAAAATGAATGGACTCTGAGTTGCAAGCCATGGTAGAGGATGAACAGTCTAATGTGGGATATGCAGTTCTGCATTTTTCCAGACTAAGAGCCTGAATAAGACCAGATTTACTAAAGGGGAGAAAAGGGTAAGATGTTAATATTCAGTTGAAGACAATTAGGAAAGGAAACTGTGATTAGGTGAGCACAACAACTTCACCATCTAGTTTCTTGTCAGTTAATATTGCCAGAATTCTTCAGAAGCTTCTAGTATATTGGGCATGTATGACATACTGTGTTTACAGAAATATAAATACCTACTAGAACATCCAAAAACATCAAGATGACATCTGTGATAACATGATTGAAGCCTTGTCTCTTTTTATCTGGCTGATAGCAGTTGCCATCTTGACCTTTTTGGCCCCCCAGCAGATGCCATGAGTGCCTATGAATGCATTCTTGAGCTTTCCTTAGTATAATTTAACTGCTATGAATAGTTTGTTTTTACATTCTACTTAGTTGTCTTCACTAATTGTAATAATGGCAAAACATATCTGGCTTAAATTAGGCTCCTGAGTGAAGGTAGTGCAAATTTTTTCCATTTGTCAGAGCTTACAGGTAGAATCTGGGGGATGTAATAGACAAAACAATCCTTATATTTACCACAATCTGCATATATTATTACTGTTTATTTTTGAATATGTATATGTAAGTTTTTATTAACTGTTCTTGGCAGTGTACATTTATTGATTTATTTTTGTATGAACATCTGTCATACTTCAGCAAATAGAAGTTTTTTAAGGGTGGCATATATTACATTAACATATGAAAATTTGCCATCTGCTTTGTGTGTATTTGAGGGAATGGAACTGTAGTTGTACAGATAAATAACATTGGGCTCAAGGAATTGATTGTTTCTTGGAGACATGGCACAGTCTTTCTCCAATCTTGCTGCAGTGCTTAAAAAGAATGGAAGGCCACCTGTCAACCTTGGCAGGGCAAGACAGTAGAAAACTGCTTGGAAGCCTTCTAATGAAGGGGTGGTGCTACAGGCAAATTTTAAGTGAAGAACTGAATGGCTTATGGTGCTTTAATCGTGCTGCTTTG